ACCTTCTCGACACTGCTGCCCTTCCTGCTTTGACATACGTCTCAGGAACGTGGACTCTATGAAAGCAGGATGAGCACGCATTTAGCGCCGTTAAACGCGCTGTGGGAAGGACGATGCTCGGAATTTCCGTACACACGCAAGTGCAGAAGGAAATCCGGAGCTGCGAGCTCCGTCGACGAACGAAGATCAGGGATGCCGTTGGATACAAGAAATCGAAAAACGGATGGGCCGGGCACGTCATGCGATAAAGCGGTGACTGTTGGACCAGGACGATTACGAACTGGATCCCTCGGACGTCAAAGGAATCTAGTCCGTAACCGCCCTGGTCCACCAGGACGACCGCCGGCTCGATGGTAAGACTTCTTCACGAAATCTCTGAACGAAAGGAATGTTTCGCCCCATGTCCCTCGAGCGAGTATAATTACTCACTGGACTACTCTGGCTCGCAACAGGGACGAATGGAGTCGTTTTTGGAGCGCTCGAGGGAATCCACGATCAATGGGACGAGAGGTGACACAGGTGATCCCTGCCAAATTTAAATGCCTCAGTCCAAGAGAACAGGAGATGTGAATTTCCATCGGACGCGCACAAACACCACACGCACACGCACACACATCGATATTCTTCTTGAGCACCTTGGTCGGCCTCAGCGGAACCCTGCTCAACTCATGTGCGTTGAGTAATTTGGTTAAATCTTCTCTTTTTCCAACTTGATTGCGCAGATTCACTCGAATTATGCCCCTTTTACGGACGCTCCGCCCCCTCCGACTTCCTACTAGGACAAGGAAATATGAATCACGGTCGTAAGTAGCTCGATTATTACTGCCAAGTCTTCCCCTTCCAATCAACGCATGATGTTTTCGGGCGCGACACTGGAAAAATTGAGCGAAATGGTATCGCCTTACTGAAAGTCTTTCATTACGTTGTCAACGATTTGCTTGTAGAATGGCGAATTTGTGGACACAAAGCTGTCACGAAACACCCTTATGCTTCGAGAGAGAACACCATAGTTTCTCAAGGCTTCAATTACCGCTTTTGTCTCGACAGCATTAAAAGCATTCTTCAAATAGGTGGAGGTCAGAAATCACGGCATCCTGTACTCCTAACTTTCAATGAGTCTTTGAGAGATAAGGTTTGTTGTACTGAACCCTCCCCTAAACCCTGATGTGACCGCCCTCCACCTGATATTCTGCCAATCATGCTAACGATGACGCATTCGAAAAGTTTTGGATTGCATACAGTAGGAAGATAGTTGAGTCATAGTTGCTTGCATCACCTGGACCCCCTTCAGCAACACAGTCGTACAGCCGTATGTGCACTGTGCGTTTCAATAACTACCTCGTGAAGAGCCAAGCCGGAGCTCTGGAGACAACTGGCGTAAGGCTAGATGTTTTGATTTGATTCCATCGGAATCGGGCACCGTACAATTCTTCATCGACAAGATGGCATGCCAGATTTCGGAAGGGAGAATTGGAAGAGCGATATATCCTTCTCACCTTAGTTAGAAGGTAGGCAGATAGACGTGGCTGTTGAAGAAAAATCTAAGTGAAAGTCGTAGATGACTTTCTATATTGGAATTTAGTCTCGTCCACAACTGCTGCTCATCTCTTTTTCAGCTCTTCCTTTATCGCTTATCTGCACACCTCCGTAATTATTGATGTTGCCTGATGCTCGCGCGATACCACACTGGCAAATCGGCTCAAGAGTCTCTGAACAGAGACGTTCTTTGGATACTTGCAAACTCATTGCGTTCCGCGACTATCGTGAATATGTTCAACGGTCGGTCGTGTTCTTCATCGATGTTGTCGATAACGGAATCCTTCTAGAGGAGCGAAGTGTTTCCAGCCACCAATGATCTGGGGCTACATTTCCTCAATATCACAGCCTCTCTCCACGCGATGAAAAACAGAAGTCAGATCACGATGGTCCCTTCCCGTACAGAACTTCAGAACAAGAGCGGCGTCATTCAGGCAAAACATTCAACTGAAGATGATGCGGTCTATTTTACTATGGAGCTGTACACCAGGTGACTCGCATGTCCGTCGCAAATTTGAGGGCTTCTGGAATTGCGAGTTACCATGGATGGTGTGGGATCACATGATAAACTCGGAACGCTTTCACCCTACTCATTTCATTCCATTCTTTCAGTCCCAGCGTAGGGCTCTCCAGTCATTTTTTCTGGGGCCAATCTTCAAAACATCAACGATGATCTTGAAGAAAATATGATCTTTTCTGTGGAGCCTCTTCAGATCCACGAAAACCCTTCCGGCTCTTTTTCTTTGTAGCTAGATGTTGACGCGTAGGCAACGAAAATTGCGATATCTAGGATTACGCCACGTTTTTCCAATCCGATTCGGAATGCCAATCTTTCACAAGAATCTATAATCGTGGCGAATGCATGTTGACGAGGACATCTACACCGTCAACGTCTCTACAGTCGCATCCTCCTAGGAGAAGTTTTCCCACAGTTTCGAAAACGACGTGCAACGAGCGTTGTCTTTTCTTCTCGGTCAGTCCGATGACACCGTAATTGATCTAGGCGGCTTGCATATCAGATCCTCGAGACACGATTGCGATGCAAGCGTCCGTGCATTGTAAGTACAGATCACCATCTTGGTCCTTCTCCTTCTAGGCAGCCTGTTGAGGCCCTAAGATTTTGGCAGCTTCTTTCGAGCAGTCCTACCCAACGCTGCCGTATTGGGACTTCCCTCAGGTTCAGGGGTATGAAGCCAGTTTTCGTTACTGTTTTTGGCATATGGATATCCAGGCTCTGACTGCCAGCCAGACTATCCCGAAGTGGGCGAGGGAATTAGTTCCGGAGGCGACCCCGAATAACCCCCCAGATACTTTCCAGCCACTCGAATGCAAGCTTTCGGCTAGGCCGATGGGCAGGATACCAACTGCACCCGCACTCTCCACACATGTATGCGTGGATACGCCTGCGGCATACAGAAGGTCTATCAACCCAGCACAGCAGTATCCATCCGTGAAACCAATTGCGTAACTGAGCAAGCAGCGGCGACATTTGGTCGGCGATTAATTCTCCTATGCGCCACCTGGGTCGCCCTACGTAGCCTCGTCGCTAACTGGCTGGAATCCTTCATTGAGAGGGAATCCTCAGTGGAGGAGGTCCGTAGCATCCCAAATTACCTCATGGAACTGAATCAAACATCCTCATTTCCTTTCTATGTAAAATATTGTGGATGGGCCTACATAGGACGGTAAGAGAGGCTGACCGCTTCAGCATGACGGCCACTTCTGATCTACTATTAGAAGAAGGAGAAGAAACTATGCGCTTGTGGGGCATTTGGGGTGTGAGTAGACAAGACCGTTTCCCCTACTGGAGCTAATCCATTTTCTTGCATTAGGTGTGCATAAGAGTCCCTACTCTTCCTGGTTGCCACAGACGTTCGGTTTTACCACAGAGTAGTCGCCGCCTTCTTAATAACCTTTACCCTCGCCAGTCCTTTTTCATCTCAATCTGTATATTCTGTTTCATTTTATTTTGTTGATTTTATAAACTGTTTGCCGGATAGCGTTTCTATCTATAAGGTCATAGAAGAAGGCCTGTTGGATGATACTACAATAAAACCTCATTGCTTCTTCCGGATACCATGATCGAGACCCTGTTTGCTCTCGTCTACTTAGTGACCATTAGACCGTACCTTATCACCACTCTCACGCCCAAAGCGATGAGTAGGAAAGCCAATACCGGCGCTGAACTGTGAAGCTGTGAGCTGTTTTGATATGGCCTGTTCCGACTTAACGCACATGCATGTCAGCTGCTGCTAAGAAAGCAATAAATCAGAATATCTGTTGACTGGTCAGCTTATCTCGTTGTACGTATTAGTGGTTAAAGCGACTCGAACAAATACTTGTCTTTACCTAGCACGGTGTTGTTTATCGCTTATGCTTACGAGACTAGCTCGTTCCACGCTCATAATGTCTTCTCAACCTTAACGTCACTTCAATAAAGCTTTTCCAACAGCTCGGAAGCACTGTTTGAATGAACACAGAACCGCGCCTATTTCAGCTTGACCGCACTCCTTCAAGAAAAAATCCTGTGAAGGCTACTTTAGGTGAGTTACTGGGTTGTTCGGAAAGTTTTCGCTAATTTTTTTAGTCATCTTTGGGTGATGGGCGAAAATTTCTAATACAACAAATCCACTTATCATACAATATATCCTTCGTTCTGTCCAGTGACTGTTCGACATTCTCCAGAAGGTTTCATTATCCCACTTCCATGGAAAGTTCTGAATTTAGAATCGAAAAACAATCTCAGGTCATTTTTGCAGTCTTCCAGCGGATTGCAGGATATTCTATTCGAAGAATTCTGGAGAAATCCAAACAAGTGGTAGTTTGATGCTCTGCATAGACGCACACGTGAACAGGTCCATCACATTGCGCTCGCTCAGTTTGTGAAGAACACGAAAATCAAGGCGCTTAAAAACCGAGTTTCAACGAATGCTCGGATGGTTGGTTTTGAAACACTGAGTCTTCCTCCTAGTTCACGAGTGGTGATGCGGTGATTCGTTTCGATAAGCATCTTGATTTGGTCGTGACAGTATCTCTGAGCGTTGCCGTGAATTTACCCTGCTTAAATTCCGCAGATCACTCACGCACTGTACGTCTCCTAAGCACTGTCTACTCAAACGTCTGACTCTTTCTCGCTCATGAGCCGCCTTCTTGCCACAGCGGTAGAAGAAAAGCATCAGGTGCCGAAAAAGTACGCGATGGACCACAATTTTCACACTAGCCTTACGCACACAAACTTTGAGGAATGTTAACAGAAACCATACAGAAATATACAGTGCGCGTCAATTGCATATGCCATCCCCTATTTTTTCTTTTATCTGAGTTGTTAGGCAACATTGCGAGTTGAAATGTTGACCAACACTTACTGAGTGAACAAGAGTCTCATCAAAGCCTAAACATATTTGAACGCGGCGGTAGCGCCCTTTTTTTGGCGGGAACGTGAAAACTAGCTGCGTCAATTGCTTATGCCATGCCGTCATTGCTACGAAATATCTCAGGTCTGCGCAGCCCTACCGCCTTCTGTCCAAAGCTGTCCTGTCCGCAATCCAAAGCAGTCCACCATGCCTAAGGGTCGTCGTCTATCTTCAACAGAACAATGCCAAATTCTATCGCTTCGTGAAGCAGGCCATAGCAACAAGGCCATCGCGGAACAACTCGGCCGATCCAGACGCTGCATCGACGGTTTCGTGAAGAATCCTGCGGCATATGGTCAAGCACACGGAGGAGGACGTCAACTCAAATTGACACGAGCCGACCACAGACTGATCGCTAGATTGGCTTCCAGTTCAACCATGAGTGCCAATCAGATCCGTGCACGACTTTCACTACATGTGTCGACTTCCACTGTATTGCGAGCTATTCGTCGTCAAATATTCTTGAGGAGGGAGAGGATGAAGCTAGCTCCCCGTCTGACCAGGAGCCATCGCGAAGCCCGACTCGAGTTTGCAAGAGAAATTTTTTCAAGAAACTGGAGAAAGGTGAGGGTTTTGACTCATTTTAGAAAGTGCATTGCTGAGCTCCGATAAAAAGAAATTCAATCTGGATGGTCCTGACGGGCATGTTTATTACTGGAGGGATCTACGAAAGGAGCCTAGGATTTTTGCGAAACGTGTATTCGGCGGAGGAATTGTTATGGTATGGGCGGCCTTCTCTTCCTATGGAACGCTGGATATGGAATTCATCTCCACGCACATGAATTCGCACAAGCATAAAGATATTTTCCAGCGCAGTTTGCTTCCTTACCTCCACGATCACAGGCGGAAAAGACTCGTTTTCCAACAGGATAACGCTCCTGCGCACGTCTCGCGTTCAACTGTGGAGTGGCTAGGGCATCACCATGTGGATGTATTGGACTGGCCTCCATGCTCCCCTGACCTAAATCCCTTAGAGAATCTCTGGGGTATCTTGGTGCGCAGGGTCTTTCCCGGGGGGTCCAGTATGACAGTGTTTCTTCGCTGAGAGCAGCCATTCTAAGTGCATGGAACTCAATTCCAGAAAATGTAATTCAAAATCTCGTTGACAGTATGCCAAATAGAATCCTCGAAGTTATTCGTAAAGTAGGTGGTCCAACTAAGTATTAACGTTTTACCAATTGTGCTTTTTTCTGTTTTTTTCATTATGTGTAGAAGTATGGCATATAATTTTGACGCGGCACATTTATTAAAATGAACTGTAAAAATGAAGCTGTTTCTCTGAACAGGTGTATGTCTCGTATGTGTGAGTCTCTGTCACAGTCCATTGTAGTGCAGTATGTCACATGTCACAGAAGTGGGTAGGAACCGAGATAACAGGAAAATGTGGGGGTGGCATAAGCAATTGACGCGCACTGTAGAGATATGGGGGAGGACTACTCTTTCATAAACTGTGTAACTTCATAAGGTTATGTATTTGATTTTTTGTGCAACCGTCGATAAACCCAGGGTGTTCAAAAATGGCGGAAACCTTGCGGACAACCCAATATTGTATGGATTAGTTCACATCGAAGATCTTAGCAGGCACTAATCAGTGTATCTGAAAGTCATATAGAAAAATGGACGAGCTCAACAAGTACCAAAAATTCCAGATTCAGACAACATGTTACGATGAATGCTACTTGCATCTCATCAACACAACATGTTGAATCTTTGCATATCGCTGCTGGTAACTGTATCCTTGTGATGTACACCTGGCAGAATTTCAGGAGAAAGTCTGAGACCCAAGAGGACGTTCGATTATGTCCAGAATTTAAGGTAGAGGAAAAGCAAAACCCACGGCTTGCTTGGTGTCTTTGTAATAATTCGTTTTTTCCTCAGCATCACCTTGACACCACTCCGAGCAGTGCCAGGTGCACCTGGTGACTTTTGGGTAGGACTCTTGATGACCAGCACCTGAAGTGGTTCTGTTGAACAAGGCGCACATATTTTTTGGTTTATATATATATATATATGTATATACATATCCTACTTTATACAGCTCGCTAGGCGTGTCTGTTGGTTTGTCGGTGTAGGTGTGTGTGTCGGTGTTTGTGTCCGACCGAAAATTCATAACTCCTGCTTACGTGGACGCAGAGCGTTGAATTTGGTAGTAGTACGGGAGGCAGGATGGGAACACTTATGGTGGGTAGGAGGACCAGACTTTGCCTACGGGGGGGGGGGCGTGCGCGATAAAAATTTTGGACCGTGAATTTATAGCTCCGGCTAACTTGGACCCAGCAGATTGAAATTTGGTAGTAGTACGAGCAACCGGATAGGAGAACTTAAGATAGGTGGCAAGGCCAGAATTCGCCCACAGGGAGCGGGTGTTTGAGCGGACTTCTGTTTTCATGGGCTTAAGGAGTTCAAATTTGGTAGTATTGCAGCTCTTCGTATCAACAGTGGAATCTCGGCATTTTAAAAGGTAATGTTGGATATGACGGGATTGTACGTACTCCGTGATAGGAACCGATAATAACTGCCAAGAGAAGGTAGGGAAGATAGGGACCTAAGAAAGGCCACTTACCAATCAAAATCCAGAGGAACTTCAAAAAAAGGAGTAGACAAACCCTACGCGTGAGCGGTTGCGTCGCGGTTGCTAGCAGTTCGCGCTATAACACGTTATTTCTAGGCTGTGGAGCGTGTCTGAACATGTTCAACATCGGATGTTTGAATATCAGCCACACGCTTTTGCGTAAACGCCAGCGACTGCAGAAACAGAAAAGCTGATTATGTAGGAAGTAAAGAAGCAAATGCAAAGCGCTCCTAAACCCGCGTTCAACACTCTATCAGTGAAGAAGTTACTCTGCGGTTGTCTTAGAAGAAACACAAACGAAAAAACATGTAAAGAAATAGAAACACAGGTGAAAATGTAGTTAGGGAAGCGGGGGGGGGG